ACCTCATGTGTTGTCCCACAGGTTGAGTGAGCAGCGCTTCATAGTTCAAGAAGGCACAAAAGGAGCTTGAAGGCATTTTTTATGGTCTACTTCTAGTTCCACTGAACACAGTTTAAAATTTAGAATTTGTATTTTTCTGTCCATAACCACAAAGTAAAGAAAATCAAGAGAGGAAGACATTCCAGTGATTTAGATGAGTCAGAAGATGAACTAAAAAAGACCGATAGCAGTATGCTCAACTTTAGTGATTAGGGTTAAAATGAAACTGATACTCATGTGAAATCTCAGATCACAAATCTTCAGATGATGGTATAGTTCCTCAAATTTAAGAATCAAGTGAATAATACATTTCAAAGGTGAAAAAGGAAATATGATATTCTCATTCAATTAGTCCTTCAACTAGAACTCGATCATGCAATATTTGGTGGCAAGAAGCTGAACCATCTCATTTTGTTAAAAAGGGATGTTGCAGGACTCTTATCTTTCATAAAGTTGGTGTGCCAAAATTTATGGTTTTAAAGTACACAAATGCTAAAGAAATGTAAAGGTGGGTATAAGAAGAAAATTGATAATGTATATACTTAAAAATAATTAGATTTATTATTCTAATTCATCTTTACACACTTAAGTATAAAATATCTTGCAATTATAAAATAAAAAGGACATAATCTTTTCAACAAAATTAGGAGCCATCAAAGATTTCAAAAATTCAACTGTTGCTTTTGATGATACAAGTAAACATATGCTAGAACTTAATAAACATGTGTTTGAAATCTGGAATTGGTGTCTGTAAATACATACAGTGTGAGTTTATCCATTACAGTTGATGAGCAATTAATTCACTCTATAAATGTTTCCAATTTGGAGTATATAAACCTTCAAAATCAGGGAATTGATGAAATTTACCTTTGCTATGTTTAAGTTATTACAAAAATTTTACTATCTTTTTATCCTGGGTTCTGTAACAATTTTATCCTTGGTTCTGACGACTTAAAATATTTGAAAAATAAACCATTCAGAGATCCAGGTGGTTATTGGATAACTATTCATCCCTACTATACTGAGAATAGCATGCATATTTTCTGAGCCTGTGTCGCATACTTATCAAGTTATCCTTAGTCATGAAATTATTTATTCCATCTCATCTTTTTTCTGGACTACCAGCTTGCCTAGGGAATTCAACAAATACTACTGAGTATACATCAACACTTCCAAGTCTTTTGTTTTGAGAAAACAACTGGATGTCTGGAACTACAGTTATTATGTTTATGTGAAGCAGTATTTTTTAGAGGAGTGGGAAGTATTGCAGAATCTTACTTAATTTTCTCCAATACCGACACTTGAGCTCTGAAATACATTAGATTAAGCCATTAAATAAGAGTAAATCTGATACAATTACATCTGAACTCCTCTCAGCAGGATCAAACCAAAAATGCAGTTAAACACCATTGCAGTCTAACAAAAGGGTCTTAATAAAATGAGAGTACAAATGAGAGTACTAATTCCTTGAGGCTCTGTCTAGCTGTGGATTTAAAGCCCATAGAATTGGAACACTGGAACATAGGCTGCCAAACATACCTTACTGTAGTTAGAAAATTTTGATGGGTGAATATCTTCAATTTAAAAAAAACACACAGAAATGGGAATAAATTATCTTGACATAAAATAAATCTTGGCTTAAGTAAAAGTAAGATAGTAGCTGGAATTTCACTGGTTGGATAACTTTTTAGGAATAAACTTTAACTTATATTGAACTTTAGTCATAATGGCTACAGACACAGAAAGCTGAAAAAAAAAAGTGTTACAATTACTAAACCAAAGCACTAACCCTGGGCCTTGTGCTGGGAATTTAAATCAATTTATTTATCTATAGGAAGAGATAAAGAGATCTGTGAGCCATGTGAATTTTACTTAGAGAAATTTGTTTATTTGGTTGACTCTGCTGAGCAATGCAGGCAATTCATTTGGTCCAGATAGAAGATGATGAAAAGAAAATATGAAAATGCCTAGAAAGATCATGATTTTCTTTTTAAAGGCCCTACCTTAACAAAACTGTTGGTGTGGCTGTCACTTAAGAAAAAGGTGCATAGACACAAAGTATTAAAAAGAAAATTGGAGTTAAAAAGTTGATAAAGATAAATCTAAAAGAATATATCTTGACTATTTGTATTATTTCTAAAAATCAAAAGAAGTTCAAACACACATACATAAAAAAAAACACAGTGAATTGAGTCTCAATATTGCAGCTAATGTCTGCCTTAACCAGTTTTAATAGATCTCTCATAAGATAATGACAACTAGACATTAGGCCTGAAGTAAAAGTGGGAGTTACCAGCTTCAAGACAGCCACCGTAAGAGGGCAGGATCTCTCTCTCCCTCTCTCCTTCTCTCTCTCTCTCTCTCTCTCTTTCTCTCTCTCTCTTTCCCTCCTTCTCTCTCTTCTTCTCTGTCTCTCTCTCTCTCTTGTTCTCCCTGGCACTCTCACCCACCTTAAGACAGGTTGGAGGCTATTCAAAACAAATCATCCTGTAACACTGACCATCTATCAGGGGGTTCCAACCTTTTTGTGTCTTGGGCCACACATTAAGTACATTTCAACACATAATCACAAAAAATCTTGTAATATTTTAGGTAAATTTATGATTTTGTGTTGGGCCACATTCATAGCCATCTGGAGCCACATGCAGCCTGCAGGCCACAGGTTGGACACCCCTGAGTAATCAAGAGACCTAATGATGGGCTGTTAGGTCATTAAAAGTTAGCATTTCTGGAGAGAGGAGCTCTTCAGTGTCCACAAAACCCCTAAAAGTATACATTTTAGTGACCAGAGGGGAGAGGGGAGGGAATTTCAGGGGAAAAGGGGAAGGATTTACAGGAACTAGTATAAAGGACACGTGGACAACAACTAAGGGGGGTGGAAATGGGAGGGAGGTGGGGGGCACTGGGGGTGGGCTGGGATGGAAGTAAAAGACAGAAAACTGTACTTGAACAACAATTAAATAAATTAAAAAATAAAAACAAAAAAAACATAAAAATATAAAAGTATACATTTTAGATATATGTCTATCTACTCCAATTGCCATAGAACCAGTCTTAGTGGCTCAAACTCACTTCTAGATTTAAATAGTTTTTTCTTATTTTTTCAACTTGATATAGAGTCAATACAGTAGAATTTTAGATATAATGAAATGATCAAATCCTTATACTTTCTCTGGTTTAGTAAATAATCCCTGTCATTGAAGTGTAGATTATTACTACAAAGCATCAAAAAGAGCAATTCAGCTCACCTGGTATACAGACAAAATCTTAGCTCTAAAAAAATGTTAAGACTATCTTAGAAGTATTCCATTTAACAAGATAAAAGGCAGGTCATGGGACTTATGGTGTCAGCATACCTCATTCATAAGGTTTTTCAAATCTGCACAGTAATTTGGAATATTTTTGAGGGTTCTACAATATTATGCAAAGGTAATACTATAACCCAGAGGGAAAAATTAAATTGTATTTTTAAAAATCATTACCAATAATTACTAATAAATGTTAGCTAAACAATAACAGGTGTTCTACGAATCCCAAACAGAAACAGATGGAAGTACAAATGTTTTATAAATACTTGATATGTGTAGAGCAATAAACTTGGCAGGAATTATGTTATTCTCTAATTGTCAGTCAGAGTCAAAGTCTTATCAGTTACATTTTTCTCAAATTAATATGCCCAGATTAAATCTTGTTTCTCATTTCGTATTTTTCAAAATGCAAGTCTTATTAAATGCTTTTTCACTCTATCTGATGTGTTATCTCACCAGTAAACATTATTATTTTTTCTTCTGTAGATTAATGAAGCTTTACATTATTTGTTACATCAAACAAGAGGCTTACCATACCAGTGATACAGGTTTTCCTTCTCCAGGTTCTTCCACATTCCCACCCCACAAAATAATGCCGATCTGCATATTCTTTGATTTTTCATACATTATAGCAATAAATCTTCGAAACCATAATTGAAGGTAGGTGAAATGAATTAAGAAGGCAATTGGAAAGTCAATCTGTGGCATTAGGAAAACTAATCCTATAACACTTTGGAATTGTTTTGGGGAATTAAGGTAGCAGCATGGCGCTAAGATCTGAACTCACAGCTGTTTAGAGAGTATTCACATGAGACTTCAGAAGCGCTCTCCCTGTATTGTTTATAGAAAAATCCCCCTTAAGTTTTGCAGAGATGGTTTCACTCTGACCATAATATGTTATTAAATTTTCAGGAAGAAATGACTGACATTATGACTATTAAGCTGTCAGCATCTCTCACTGACTTTGGACATGTATGATCTTTTTGTCCTGTGATTTTTCTTAGAAATTTTATCTTATGATCAATTAGTAGCTACTATAAAAAAATTAGGTAGCACAAGAACACAATTATTCCTCAGACAATGGAACTTAAATCCTTATGATCAACAATACAGGTACATCTGGTATGTAAGTAAACGGTTAGTTAATCTTAAAAAAGCAAAATATGTGTAGAACATAACTTTCTTAAACTATCTCTGTTGAATACATTGGGCAACAATTCTATTATCTAAAATTGAGTTAATAGTGTATGTAAAGTGGTACTTGTCACGGTTGAGAAGTTTTCCTCTGCGTGGATGCTCCCTTGGACAGGCAGTGGTGAAATGAATGAATTAAAAAATACAGACATAGGAGTGTTTTGTTGTCATCTATTAGATGCTTTGTCAACAATTCTGCAAGGTTGTTACTCTGATCTCAATTTAAAATGACCAACACTGGAGGTCGGGTGGAGTTCAATGATTTGCTCAAGGTCCAATGTTAAAAAAAAGGAAGGTGTCAAGAATTATGTCTGCATTTGTGTACAAAGCCCTCTATTTTCATTACACTAAACCAGCTTCCTGTATTTCCATCTAATTTTACTATATACTATGCATGTATGTTAACACTAATTATTTTTACTGAGTGAGTTATTATGCTTTTCATCATTTTCCTTCTCATTTCAGTTTCTAGCTCATTAAGAAAATTAAAAGAAAAAGAAAAGAAGAATAAGAAAATGAAGAAGAGGAGGAGGGGGAAGAAGAAATAAACTTGAATGTTACTGGAATTAAATAATTTTTTCCTGAAAGGGAAAGTTCTTGTGATCTTCTAATTTTCTAGGACCTAGATGTGTTATATAGTTGTTCTAGACATGGTATGCCTGTTTGCCAATATATGCATAAATTATAACAATACATTTTATAAAGATTTCCATAAAAACACTTGGAAAACCAAGATACAGCTTTCTTTAAACAATCTGCTTCAATTATGCTAATATAAATTAGTTCTTTCCTTAATAATACCAACTTCTTAGAAACATTTCCATAGTATCATCAACTTTTAAAGCTGCAAAAAGTATAGCATGTGTCAAGCCTTCTTCAGCTTGAGGTGGTTAACACACTATACAATATACAAATAATGTGGTACAGAACTGTACACCTGAAACCTATATAATTTTATTAACTAGTGTCACTCCAATAAATTCAATAAAATATTTTAAAGACATAGCACACTCAAACAAGTTACTCATTCTTAATTAAGATGTTAATAAAGAATTATTTGTTACACTCTGGGTAACAAAGATAGAAGAAATAATAGATAAATTTCTTTAAGTAAAAATATAGTTCTCTATTGCATTGATTATTTACTCCAAGTATGACTATCTCCATCAGCAGTAGTTCTCTGGAGCAACTAACTCAAGTTTATACATATGTGAGATAACCAGTTCTGAAAAAAAATTGAATATTTAAAGTGTGATGAGTTTTAATGTGAATTTTGCTCACTACTAAATAAATATGGACTGTTTATTTGTCTTAGGTCTTTTTCTCTAAGTTTACCAGAGATAAAACAAGATGATTCACTTTTCACTCCAAGATATTATTAAAGATATTAGCATTTTTGTATATAAAGATATTAGCACTTTTTTAGCTTTCAGTTGACTACAATAGGCCATGCAGTACTAGAAGGTAAAATTAAAAGCCCTAATGTGGGTTATTAATTCTTTTTATTGATTTTATTCTAGATCTAACCATGCATTATGCAATATTTTAAAAAAAGAAAATACAGCTTAGTACATAAAAAAGCTGACAATCTTAGAAACAAAGACTATTAAAACAGACAAATACAAGAATTGTTTGGAATACCTGGTTTTAAATCCCCATGGACAAACATGTCAATCATATATCGACAGAATGCATACTGATCTGACAAGAGTAGAAAGAAAAAGAACAATGAAAAAATGTCATCAACACCGTTCTTTTTTCCTAGGGAGAACTGAGTTAACAAAACAAGCAAAATAGTACAATTCTATTTTGATTACCACAATTCTGTGAAGGAATAATTTCCACTCCTAGGAACACACTGGGGGATAAGACATAATAAACATACAGTTCCATTTATTTCATACAAAAAGAATAATCTTAAAAATTGAAGCAGACTAGTTTTAGGGTAATATTATAGTTGTCGTTTTTTAAAATCAAAACCTTTTTCACCAAATATACTACAAAAGCAATTATATTAAAACATTTTTTCTCATCATTGTCCATATCCTCAAAAATGAAACAGAAAGTTTTACAAGAGGAAATTGTTTCCAGCTTGGAATGTTTTACCAAATATTCACTCCCAGCCCTTCTGTTAACTGTCTAAATGAAGCAGCAGAATGTTTTCTAGAAAAGGCAAGCAGGAGGCCTAACCATTTTGCAATCTGCTACAGGCCCTCCACATGAAAATGCTCTTCATTTAGGAGAAATATTATTTGGTGCAGATTTACAGTATTAAATAATATCACTTTTAAGCTAATTAATTTAGTAGTCCTTATTACAAGATCATTTATGATCTTGAATAGTCTATGGTCTGGGAAAGTAGTGAGAAAGAGAAAGGCATAGGAATTGAGAATTTAGAACAAACTTGCTTACAATGATTTTAGAGGTGAGTTTGTTTTCTTTTTCCTCTAAATTAAATACATTCTACTCAACTGTAAATTTTCACATAACTTTAGATTTTTGACGAGGTCATTCCAACTCAAATCTCAGTTGATGAATCATTCTATGGGTTTTACCACATCTTCTTTAAAGTTCACATATTCTGAATTGAATTGTGTTCAAGATGATTTACATTTAATGTTTCTGAATAAGCATTTCATTTATTTAACAAATCCAAAGGCAGCTTTAGGACCAAGAGAGTTTATTGAATATGTACAACATGATACACCCTTAAGTTCTCCAAATTGTGTATAGCAAACATGAAAAAATAAACCTTGTTGCTATATAAATACACATAAAAGGATTTTTGTAAATCTCATTCTTTTTAGAAGATTAACTGCATTTTTGAGTATTTCATTTTATTATTAACCTCTGCAGAATCTTTGAAAAAATAAATGCAGTTATTACAGTAGATATAAAAATATAATTCTTTTTTTATTAACACCTAAACATGAGTAAGCCAAAACCCATTAGGTTTAAAAAATGTGTACATATTTTGACTGTTTAATTGAAGTACACTTTCCCACACATGAGGTCTAAAGTGGGAGGGAGGCTGCGTGTGGTTTAAGTCCAGGAATCTATTTGCTCCCAAAACCTACTGAGAGTGATAACAGAGGTTTCTGACCCCAAGACCTGGAAACCCTGTGGTAGAGGAGGGAAGTAAGTTGAAGGTAGGGAGTATTCATCTTTGCTGGACACAACTCTTTTCTTGCAATGAACAATTGCAAGAATTCTGCAATGAATAATTTGTCTCTAAGTTAAAGCTGAAGCAAAAATTTATTTCCCTTAAACAGTAGATTTGAGGTTGAGCAAGTATGGATGCCCAGACATGGCCCCTTTTCCCTTTGTTTCAGTACCATAAGTGACTGGATTCCTTTTATATTTGTCTTTCTTGCAATTCAGAAGTAAGCTGACCGCTCTGGATGGAAGCTAGTTAGGGGTGGAGGGACTGAGCAAAAAAGAGAAAGGGCTCATGGACATGGACGATAGTGTGGTGATTGTGGCAGGGAAAGGGATGTAAGTGGGAAAATGATAATGAGCAAATACAATTAAAGAGGCAATATAAATATTAGAAAGATGGAGAATTTGCTTAAATGTAAATTTCCTAGCCCCATCACTCATAAATTTTTATAATTCCATGGGTCTGGACCCAGGGAATATACACTTAACAAACTTCTCAGAAGGGTCTAATTAGACCATATTTCCAGCATCACTGGCCTAAAACCTCTGAACGTTTTTTCACAATGATTCCTAGCAGCACTATAGCAGTCACCAACAGCAGCAGAGAATGCTTGTGTGTGTGTGTGTGTGTGTGTGTGTGTGTGTGTGGCAGAAGTTCAGAATGCAGGGACGGCCTAGAATGTGAAGGGATTAGACAACCCTCATTGAGGAAATATTGTTCTCTGTCCCAAGTTGTGAAAGGGTGTTTATAACTTGTGGAATAGTATATTGAAATAGCTACAATCTTTATGCTTCAATGTTTTTCATTTTACTGAATGTTGACAGTATAATGAAAATAGCTTATATGTTAAATTACTAACCAAATAAAGTGCTTACATTAATTATATCAAGCATTTTATGGATCCAAATGCCATTTATTTAATTAATGCACCAATAGTCCTATGAGTTTTCAATTTGAAAAAGAAAATCCATTATGAATTATAAGAATGTTTATTTTTTTTAATCTAGAATATCATTTGAGTTACAACACTTAGGTGGTTTCTGTTATGTTTAAATGATGCTATAATTCTGCATTCTAATGCCAACATATCAATAGGAAGATGAGAAAAACATTTTTTAATATTTTAAATTAGAAATTTTTAATATTTTCAATTAGGATGCCTATTTCCACCTGCCTATGGTGTTGAACTTAACAATACATAAGAATTATAGGCAATTATATCTCGGGTAGTGCCCTGTGTATCTGCTTCGCCCATCTCAGGATAGACTAAAATCATGCTTCTCCAACTTTGAAAGATTTATTTTATAAAAGTGTTTTTACACACAATTCAAATATTGAAATGGAGAATTTTTTCTTTGAGGAAATCTGAACTGTTCTATCATTCTACCTTCAAAGTTAGGCAATAATAATTCACAAAAGGTAAATTCATATTGATCACCACTTCTTAGTATTTTTTTCTCAAATGAATATCCTTCTAAGGACAACACACTGCCCATTTCTCTCCTTCCTGACTCTCAGGGAACAATGATGGATGTCATTCACCTGCTGCCTTGTTAGTGCTCCCTGTGGACTGACAGCTGAGAAAAAATGCATTTTGGGTGCAGAATGTCAGCAGAAAACAAGTTTTTAAAAAATTCTAATGAGGACTGAGCCCATGTGGTCAGTGCTCTATAGGGATTCACATTAGCTATATTTTTCTTCCTGACACACAAATATCTATATAGTAGTTCAGAAGGCAGGAGGGAAGGAAGGAAATAAGGAGGGAAGGAAGGAGGGAAGGAAGAAGAATGAGTGTAGCAGTGGGGAGGTTTGATCACGTCAACTCTTCTTATCTTACTTTGTTTTTTTTAAGATTTTATCCATTTATCTTTAGAGGGGAAGGAAAGAAGAGAAAAAGAGATATATCAATGTATGGTTGCCTCTAGTGCATTCCCTGCCAGGACCTAGCTTGCAACCCAGGCATGTGACCTGACTGGGAATTGAACTTCCATCGTGTGGTTGGAAGGCCTGTGCTTAATCCACTGGGCCACACCAGCCAGGGCCCTTCTTATCTTACTTTAAACAGATTAAGATTGTTATAAAGACTAGATGACAGGATATATAATCCTGTGTATAAGTTTATGGTAGACATGTATATATTCACAAATTTTATCCCCATCATTTTAAATAGAAATATGTCGTTTATAGGAATAATACTATGGGCAATCACATATGAATATATTTACATGTATACTAACAGGGGTAGGCAAAAGTAGGTTTACAGCTGTGAGTACATGAAACACAGACGTGAGTCTTGCATTATTATTTATTAACTCTTATATTACTTATTTGTATTATAACTGTAAATCTACTTTTGTCCACCCCTGTATAATTAAATAATTGCCAATAAGTGTGTGTTCTCCATGTAAAAATCTCTTTCCAATAAGTAAAAGATCTCTATTATTCAAAAGGAATTATTTAGAAATCTCTATTAAAAGAATACCTCAAACTTATTAGGCTTAATTTAAGCTGAGAAAATAAATATTCTCTTGTCCAAAAGAGAACTAACTCAACAATTTTACTAAACCATCAGTACAAGAGTCTCAAAATCAAAGCCACCTCACAAGTAGATTATTTAAAAAACACTATCTTTATGTTTGGTTAAAATCATAATGTGATTAGATTTTATAAATAAATGCTCTTACATCTTTGCTTAATGTGTCTGAAGAGATATCAGATGTTAAATTTTTGATGACTTGCCTAATGATACATTTGTTTAATTGATTGTAGCGGTTCTCAGTGAGAAGATTTACTTTAGCAAATGCATTTGTTCAGCTGATAAAATCCCTTTTGTGCTTTTGTTTTTAACTTTAAGTAAAATTTGAATGTCTTTTTAATACATAAGTAGCTCTTCATGTGGAAATAAAAAACAGTAGATTGAAAGTGAAAATAGTAATATAGTGTTATGTTTAATAATTCTTATTATTGATAGAAATAAAATACAATATATGTGACCAGGAAAATAAGTATTTATTTGAAATGTTATTCTTTGAAAATGTTCCGGTGATGTGTCTCCATCAGTAATATATGCCTCCCCAAAGCCAAATATGCTAAAAATAAACATCAAAAAGTGTATTCACGTATCTAGTTAGTTCCTAGTGGTGTTTTTTGTCTGGTTTCATGTGATTATTTTCTTTTTTAAAAGACAATTTAAAATGCAAAGTATTTTAGGATATTGATAATCATTTAAAATAATGTATTGATGAATCAGAAGATTAATTTTTCTGTTTATTATCACAGTAAAATCATCCATTCAAAATATTTTCTATTTACTATGTATTTTTCTACTCAAGTTATTTCATAAATAACATATAGCTTTAAGAGAGGCAACAATTACTATTTTTAATTAAAAAATAATGTTATATTTAAAATTGAAAAATGGTTTGGGGGATCAAACCACAGTTTGAACTCCATTTTTATCTTTGAAAATTATATTGGAATAAATAAAAATTGCCTAAGTTAAAAATTGTGTGAATAACTAAAAAATTATTTTTAGGTTTTAACTTCTTTGTTCCTTCCTTCTATTCCCTTTTTGAATGCTTTTTTTAAAATTCAATATATAAATAAATATTTATGAATATCGATTATGAACTCAAGGCTAAAGTCATCCAAAAATAAATGCAAGAATGGATTGTAAAACAAATACCATATAGCTGACTCTTATTTGGAATCTTAATAAAAATGTGTGGATTGCAAATTTTATCTTACAGCTTATAATGGGAAAAGTTATTTTAAATTTCACTGTTCAGATAGCTTATTCAGCAAGTTATAAAATATGTTAATTAAAATATCCTAGAAACCACTTCTTAATTTTAGCCCTCAAATAAAGTTATTCAAAACTACCAGAGTACAGAAAAGTATTACTTTGCAACCCCCCTAAGAAACCTGCATAGAAACAGTTGCTATGGAGGAGATTCCACATTCTGTTCTGAGAGTCTTGGGATTGTGTAGCAGCAACCAGTGCAAGGAATGGACTTAGGGAAGGACAGATTCAGTGAGGAACAGAACTGAGACAATAAGGCCTTCAGCTGCCCTCGTAAAACTCCACCCTTTCATGTTTACCTAGCACCCTTCCATAAAACATGTTTGGGTTTATATTTCATCTCTATTTAAATGCTCTATTTCTGTCATAGGGTTGTAAGTCTGACATCACTCTTGTTGAGGACCAGCACAATATGTCAGATAACAAGCTTTCTAAAGCCTCACGTGTATGTAGCCATAGAAGCTGGCAAAGAAACTTGAGGGTTCTTTTCCTTATACCTTCCTGCCTATTAAATTAACTGAATTTAATAATTTGATGCATATTCCAAATTATGTGCCCTTGCAGAAGCAGCAGGAATGTATGGATATTTTTAATAATATTTATTCGATATATAGATAAATATATAACCCTTAAAACACTCCATGAGAATGATTATTTTTCCTGATCTACTTTTCTCCAAAGGGTATACACTGACAATTTTTGTTCCACGTCTTAGTAAAAAATCCCGTATTTCAATAATTCAATGTTTATCACCAATCTTTAAATAACTTTAGATATTAACGCAAATCCTCCTTTATAAATACTTAAAAGTTCATCTTTAAATATGTGGACACATTGGGGTAGTTCTGTGAATAAATTTTAATTCCCAATTTATTGTACTTGTTTCCAGGTATATTCACTTATCCAAGTATTTCTCTCCCGTTTGGTGTCTGATCTCAGTCTTGTTCAGATTACACTTTCACTGTATCTGCTTCTTGCCCAATGCTCTCTTAGAACCTGCGGCAGCCTCGTCTGAATGTTTACCTTTCTGTTCATGCTTGGACACAGCTACGGTCTCTTTCTCTTCCCTCTCTTTGGGTTTGGGTGGTGCTTTCTGTACTTCTTTTACTTTTGCAGCTGTTTGCTTCACTTTCTCCTGTTTCCCACTTTTCAGTTCCCTTTTCGTCTTTTCTTCTGTCTTCTCCTTAGTCTTAGTTTTCTTCTCTTCTATGTAGGTGTAAGAAAAGTTGAATTATTTTTGTTCATTTACCAGCACATTTCATCTTTTACTGGTTGTTAAAAACAATTTTAAAAGAAAGAGAAAAATAGTGCCTTGAGATAAATACTTGACATAGATACTATTATCTGACATTTTATAGTTTATGAAGTGCCATGCTAGAGGACCAAGTAGAAGGAAGAGGAGAAGGAGGAGGAGGAGAAAATAATGTCGGGCTCTTTCCTAATTTGTACATGAAAACATTGTTTTTTTTTAGGTAGTTAGGAACTTGGTATGTCAATAAGGAGGCATTTCGAATATACAGGGGATATATATATAGGCATGTTCAATGAAAAACAATTCTCAAACCAAAAAGCCCAAATAAAGAGATCAGTTAAATGGATAGAATAATTTTGTTCCACAATTGAATATCTTAAAAGTCATTCAAGAAACTTAACTGTCAATACAGTATTTTGAAAAGATAACTATTAGGAATGCAAATGTAAAATTACTTGCACTGGTGGTGACTAATAGGAATAAAATGAGAAAATCCTTTAAATGATGACCCAGAGACATTCAGTTTCTAATGACTTGGTTTTAAAGAACAAAAAGGGAGCAAGAATTGACATCAAGTCCTGCCAATCCTAAGTCAGAAATGATAACTTTAATCACTTTTAAAGTACTTAAATTATCTTAGTAAACAGGAAGAGCTATAAATTAAAATAGGTATAAATATCTATGAATTATAATACATACATGTATTTTCTATACAACCATATTTTAAATTTGATATTATGTGTATTTGGAAGGAGGGAACTGGGAATGTGAATCTCAATTATTTGTTTAAAGCAATAATGATATAGCACACATTTGTGGAAAATTATTTATAATAGATTCCGCAGATTGGACAGTATGTATTCTAAGGGATCACACATAATGAATAGACACCAAAATAAGTCTACTACAATGCTGTCCTCTCATATCATTTATCGATGTAATAGTTAACCTTTATCGTCACTCATGTTGAAGAATTTGATGAAAATATTTAATCAAGTACCTTGACTTTAGTACACTAAGCAATAGTTTGGAACTAAGACAATATGGCGAGGTCTAGGGAAGAATAAAGAGAAGAACATTGATAATGCCTAATGATTGTCAAACCAGAATCGTCTGCAGTGCTTTATATTATTAAATGGACCAACATACCCCGAAGCACTGTTCCTCAGGAACTATTCAGGGAGATGTTGATACACATATACATACACATATATATATTTATTTGCATGCATAGTCTGTTTACATCTATGACTCCATAAGAACATAACTGTGTAAATAAAGTATTTGTGATTTGTGGCAGGCCAGGCTGACTCAACATAGCCCCAGTGATTCTCATACCTTTATATAATTCTTTACCCCCGAAAATGGGTTGGCCTAGAAGTTTGCTACTAACCAATAATATGTGACTTCCATGATTAGTCCACATAAGATTATTACCTCCCTCCTTTGCTATCAGTTTCTCTCTTGCTAGGTTTGATGAAGCCAGCTATCATATTAGTGAGACTCACGTGACAAAAAACTAAGGGTAGTCTCCAGTCCATGACCAGAAAGAACTGAGCCCCTCATTCAACAGGCCTTGAAGAACTGAATCCTGTCAATAAATATGTAAATGAACCTGGAAACGTTTATTTCCCCAGCTGAGACTTCGGTTGGGACTACTGCCCAGTCTAACACACTGATTGCAGTCCTGTGAGCCATTGTGAAGCCGAGACTGAGCTATCCCATGCACAGATTCTTGGGTCATCGAAACTGTGAAATAATGTACTTGTATTGACTTTAGCCTAAAAATATGTGCTATTTTTTCCTCACAGCAATACATAACTAATATAGTATTAAATAAATATTTATTAAAGAAATAATTGAATCATTTATCTTATAATCTTTGGAAAGAATGTTTGATTTATAGGTAGGTCACTTGGATTTTGTCTTAGTGCTCTTACATACTAGTTATATGATCAGGCCACATTGACCTTTCCCTGGAGGTCAGTTTCTTATATATATATTTATAGATTTATAAATTTGTACGAATTTATTTTCATTCAAATCTGTCCAAAAAAGAACTAAATAGAATAAAATAACATCTATTTAGTTATAAATATCAACTTGAGACTAAATGCTACCTTCTAGGCAAAAAAGTGTCAATTTGCAATTCATCCATCTGAACTTCAATAAAATGATACTTGGTTATCTCATTGAAAAATGAAGTAAAACTACATTTGCCTCAAATATCTAATTATTTGACACTGTATAGATAAACCCATTGAATCTTGAAAATAGATTTGAATTTTAATCTAAATGACTTGTCCCTTAAAAATGCTGGATTAAGATCTCTGTACTGATTACATAAAACTTGTATTTTAAAATATAAAGAGGAAATCAAAATTTAATAGATATTGAACTATGAGAATTTATATTTTTCTAGCAACAAACAATTTGTAGACAAATTTAGAATAGTAAAAGCTGATACATGCAATCCTCCAAATACTCAACATTACATTAATATTTTAATTGATTTTTCTGGCTTATCATTAAGAAACTTGGGGGTCTTGAATAGTGAAACTACTAAGCAAGATGTATATATTACCTTTTCTTCTTAAAAATTAAATCATAAATTCTAATTTTTTAAATCAAGCTCAAGGTATAATACTGGTCAAAAGCTATAAAATATATGTTGTCTCAATTTCCTATTGCTATAGTAACAAATTATCAAAAACATCTTCTTAAAACAACTTTCATTTAATATCTATTGGTTTCCATGTTTCAAAAGTCTTGGCACAAGGTGGCTCAATTACATTCTCTGTTTAGGTTCCACAAGGCTAAAAATCAAGTTTTCCACAGAGCTGCGGTTCTTTCCAGAGTCTCCGGGGAAGAATATGTTGGTAGAATTCTTCTCAAACTTTCCATGTGCTCTCCTCAATTTTTAAGCCAGCCATTGGGGAAGTTCTTTTCACACTTCAAATCTTTCTTTTTTGCCCCTTCGTTATGCTTTTGAATGTTTACAAGATTACATTGAGCCCACCTAGATAATCTAGGAAAATCACTGTATTTTAGATCAATCTTAACTATTTCTGCAAACTCCTGTTTGTCATGCATTGTAACAAAGACACTGGCGTGACACCAGGGAATGATTATCATGAGAGCTGAACATCTATGCACCTATAGGAAGGCTCTCTCTTCTCCTCTCATATGTTGAGGTGCTCTGTTTTCTTAAGTATTCAATTCTATTAATTTTTTAATATTAAATTTAAAATGTAAGATTAAATTAGTTTTTAATGATTACAATCACCCTACTGTTACCCCAAAATGTAAACTTTAACAGAAAAAGAATTTAGTTGCAGAAATAATAAAGGGAAAATTTACCTTTTGCCACTGTCTTTGTTTCTGGTTTTTCTTTTTTCTCAATTTTTTCCTTGTGAGTTGCTTAAACAGAAAAGTTTATATTAGATTTAATAGATTTATAGATCAACCTTTCTCTTTACCTCAGTTTTACAGCTACCAAAATCATGAACTAGTTCAAAGATGTATGACATTAGTGAGCCTAATTAGGGAGTAAAGAGTTACCAATGTAATAATAACTAAATAGGGGCCCAATTTTAAAGAGTTGGCATGAAGACTTAGAAACCATTTTGAACCCTACTCTCACTCTCCTTTTTAAAGTTATTATTCCAAACAGATAAAGTTTTCAAGAGAGACAAACTGAGAGAGAGCAATTTTATAAGTATTTGTTGAAAGATATATCATTTTATCAGAAAGAAGTACTCTCTTTGGGATTAATAAAAGAGAAATATTCAAATCAAGACTAGAGCTTTGACTATGCACAGTTTATCAACAAAGACACCACTAAATAGATCTCATGAGGTTGGACTGTCTTACACATTGACAAAATGCTTAGCTTCTCTGGTCCTGGCTTACCAAATGCCATCCACCCAAAGAAGACTCTGACAACAAAAAATGTTTCCAAATATCTCTTAGGGATAGCAACTTTGTTTGATTTATCCCAATAAAAAAATTAAGTAATCATAAAGAATAAGTATAGCTTCTTAGTTAAAGAGTATTAAATATGACACCTGAAATATTATACATCTTATTGTCTATGTAATAGATTAATAAATCATGAAGAATTTATTTTATGAACTTAAAGTTTACTTCCACAGACTGGTAAAATTTTGTATCTTTCAATAGTTTAAGGGAAAGAGTCCTGAGAAGTATAACAGCACATGTAGCTTTTTCTGATAATTCAAATATATGTGGTTTGTCACTTACCCAAGTCACATACATTCTCAACATTTACATACTATTTATTGAAGAAAATAATGATGATTAAATAAATCACAGAAGATTAAATGATAATATAGATTTAATTAAATAGGTGGCGCAAGGAAAGAGCCAAATTATTGCTTAAAAATTGAACCTCAATTCTTTCCATTTCTCCAACAATATATAATAATAATGTCTATCAGCTTCACTTGTACTATAAAAATATGCTTAAAATATATGTTTAAAAGTTGTTCTTTTAAAGTATAGTCTATATTCTCAGACAGTACCTTCAATAAAGGGCTAATACCTAAAATATATAAAGAATAAAAAGAACTCAACAACAACAAAACAATCTAATTTAAAAATGGACAGAGGACCTGACAGACACTTTTCCCAACATAAATAGCCAACAGATATGAAAAATACTCAACTTCACCAGCTTTGAGGGAAATGCAAATCAAAACCACAATGAGATACCATCTCACAGCTATTAGAATGGCTATTAGCAAGACAAGAAATATCAAGTTTTGGAGAGGGTATGCAGAATAGGAACCCTCAGACTGCTGGTGGGAATGTAAACTGGTACAGCCACTATTGAAAACAGTACGGAGGTTCCTCAAAGCCTTAAGAATAGAGCTACCATATGACCCAGAAATCCCTCTTCTGGGGATCTCCTCACAAGATTTGAAAACATTTCTTCATGAGGGTATATGTATTCCTATGTTAATTGCATCATTACTTATGGTGGCTAACCACAAGTATCCTTTAATAGATGATCATATAAAGAAGATATGGTATGTATATATACTATGGAATATTATTCAGCCATAAGAGAAGATGAAATACTGTAATTTGTGATGACATGGATAGATCTTGAGAATAGAATGTTAAGTAAAATAAATTAGATGGAAAAGAACAAGAACCATATAATTTCACTCATTTGTGGGTTAGAAAAGAGAAAGCAACAAACAAACAAACAAACAAAGCAAAATAAAATCCTAATTGATGCAGACAACAGAAGGGAAGAGGGGTTTGGAGGCATGAGAAGGTGAAGGGGATAAATAAATATATGATGATGGATGGAAACTAAAGTTTGGGTGGTAAGCACACAATGCAATATACAGATGATGTATTATAGTACTGTATGCTTGAAACACATAATCTTGTTAACTAATGTCCCCTTAATAAATTTGATTAAATCAGATGAGATGGTGCATATGCTGTAGTAAAAAATAATCATCTATGAATAGTTTTCCCTGAATCTTGCAGAGATAATACACAATGATACATATCTCTTGCAGAGATAATACAGCACAATGTCCATCTAAAGACTGAGTGATCTTGGCAGCTGCAGAGCTACCGAAATACCACTTGCCTTTCCCTTCAGGGTTTTAGCTGTTCCACCTCTTGGCTTGCACCACAGAAATCTCCAGTACCATTTGGAATTATGGGTAATGACTCGGGCAATAGCTGAAGGAGCACTATGCCAGGCTAAGCAGGGCACAATTGGCACAAGGTGATGGGGCTACAATATAATAATATCATAAAAACAAACCCCTTTAGTTAGTATGCAGCACATAAAAAGGTGTTTACCATGGAGCATCTTGTTTCTGATTTTCAATTTAGACAACTTTCTTGCAGCACTTATAATTAAAGGGCAACAAATATTTTTTAACAAAAAAATTTAGCCACTGTGTAGGTTGAAACACATCATAAGAGATATCATAGCATTTCATTTGGTCAGAGTATACAAAATCTGATTCTAATAACTCTGCATAACTCAATAGCAGATAGGAAATGGGCACCTATTTCTAGAAAAGAAAAGATGAAAATATGGCTATACTGAAATACATGGATATTATTAATAAGTGAACATTAATAAAATAACATTTTAATTCAAATTTTTAATGGTAAGTATAAAGATTGAAGCATGTTTCAACTGATCTGATTCATAAATGTCATAAAACATCCTAGCTAAATGGAATGTTCCACAAAACAAGATAATTTAGCAGGTTATACATATTCCAGATACATAAATCAACTGAAATCTAGCCCAAATATACAAGACATAATCTATTCTAAAACAAAAGTAAACAAGTAAATGAAAATTTTACTTCATGTCATACGTTAAAATGGATTATTGATGAATTAAAGTAAAATGTGAAATATAAAAATAATTTTTAAAACTTAATGAAAAATTTAATAGCTATTGATTTAATCTTTGGATAAAGATTTAAAAGCAAGAAAAAAGCCCTAAAGAAAATATTAACCTATCTAGCCACATAAAATTTTGACTTTCAACATATACACACTCATACATGTGTATTCACACAGACAGAAAACTTTACATTAACTACAAAACTGAGAAAATATTTGAAAAAGTAACAGACTAGAGATATATACCAAAATGACATGCACGCATATCATCAGGAGAAATAGGTAATGAGTGTTAATAGTTATAAAAGAAATATAAATTGCTAAAACACATGCTTAACTCCTTCAATCTTCAGATAACAATCAGTTAAAAATAAAGTGAAAAAATGTCTTTAAATGCAGTTTTTTAAAAGAGATTGAGAAAATTAACTATGTATTGATATTGGAAATTCTCTAGAACATATGGATAAATTTAAAAAACCAGAATAGAGGACATGCTAGGTTTTGTGTTAAAAAAGGAATACACAATATATTGTGTTATCTTATAAATTTATAGGGAAGCTCTGAAAGGTAGACATAAAATGTATAAAAGTGGTTTACTGTGTGTGCATATGTGTGTGTAGGAAGGATAGAATCGGAACCTGAAAGGTGGGAACAAGGCAGGAAACTTTTCGCAATGATCTGTACATAATAAACAGTGTATCTTTATGAATCTGTACTGTGTATTCTAAACAAATAAATAAAAATAAAAATGTTTTTTTAAAAATGTCTAATCTAACAGATAATCAAAGGATGCAAGTTAAATAATGAAGTATGCTTTCTTATGTATCAAATTGGCAAATATTTTCTCTAATGACATCATTATTGGCTAAGGCAGTCTCAAAACTGCCAGAGGAAAAACTGATACAACTTTTCTAGACGGTAACTTGGTAACAGAGTTCAAGAGTCTTAAGTATTTTATTTTCTTTAAACCAGAAATTATTCTCTTCAAATTTTATTCTAAGAAAATTATAACAATATAAGTATAAAACAATATAATGATTAAAAACATAAATTTATGAGCATCTAAAATCAGATGTAAAGCAGCAGAGACCAAATAGAAGGGACTCATGTCTAAAAACAATACTAATAAAATCCATACCTCTCTTTTCAGGTTTTTCTTTTTCTTTTCCTTTTCCTTTGTCTTTTTCTCGGTGTGTAACTGGAAACAGAAAATACTTTTTTAAGTAAACAGAATAAATGACCAGATTATCTTTGTTGTTCAAAAACTTATTTTCTGCCTTTGAAAATCTTTCCTTGGCTGACAAGATTTTTACATAGCTAGAGGTTTAAATGTTAAGATAATTATAGCATTTTTCTATTTTTATTTCACACCCAGAACAAACTTCTACCAAAACCCAATCTGATTGCAAAGATAAGAATATCCTTCAGCTTTTCCAAATCTTTCACTTCAGCTTAATTAAATGGAAAAGGAGCCCAGCTCAACTCTGGAGAAATGCCAAAAATAAGAGAACAAAATTATACAGGAGATAATCTTCTAAAGCTGAAGCAAAGTATAATCAACCTAAATAGCATGTGTTAATCATCTAAAGAAACAATTCACAATAAAAGTTTTGGACAATATAGTGAGAGGACAGTAGGATGACACCCAATTCCTTAAAGAAAACAGAATTTAAGTTAATGTGAACTGTGATCCAATTAATTGATACTGCAGGGTTCCAATTTAAGTCATAATCTTACCCCACGATTCAGTCATAGGTCTTATTGATGGTACCTCCAGTCATCTAAGCTAGGAAAATGTGACTGATCTGGGATTTCCTTTTATTTTCCATTTCTTTTCCTGTATCAAACTCTGATACTTGTTTCATACTTCTCTTCCCCACCTTTTTTTATCCAATATTACATTTGCTGCCTATCATTTCTGTACACAGAAATATAGAAAGAGCAACTGCCAAGTGCTGAGGATCCCGTTAGACAAGACAAACTCCATTCCTGTCATCAAAGTGTCACCAAGCTAATGGATGGTGGATGCTGAACAAACAATCACAAAGACAGTTAATTGCATTTAGAATAATTACTATGCAGAAAACACTCCCAGTGGCATGCCAGTGTACACAGTGAGACCCAATCGAGTCCATGCATATGGAGAGGCCCTTTGGTAGAAGTGATATTTACAGATATGAAAGATAAGAGGAAATTAACCTAGTAAAGGAGTGGAGGGAGAAAGAGAAAAGAGACGATTTCAAAAATTGAAGTACTTCGTAGGTATATTATTATTACCCATATTATTACAATAATATCCTGACTAGTCTCTTGACTTTTAGATTTAGATTTTTCTTTCTTAGAGTAACATTAATAACATCAAAATCTGGTTATATGGTTGACCAGTTAAAAGAGTATCTCCTTTAGTGTTTAAGCATGGAGTCTGTCACATAGCAGGTGTTATATCAAGTACACAAATATCGTACTCCTCTAGTTGATCAGATATTTGCTAACCAACTCAATCTTATCCACCAGGAATTTGCCATTGGCCTTTACATTCCACTTACAACAAGCTCTTAGAGTTCCACAAGCAAACCACGGGCCCCGTGGATGTCAGGCATCGGTGCCTGCTGGCCTTTCACCTGGAATCCCCACGCCCACTTCCCTCCCCTCCACGCACCCTTTCCGTCCTGGCTCAAATGCCTTCACCTCTATGAAATGCTCTTTGATCTCTGCTTATGTCATACAGCGAGTAGACCACGGGAATAAATCTATTTTAACTATTGCATAATAACACTGCAATTGTTCATATATCTGCCACCCAGTAAGTGAAATCTCTTTAAGGACTACAGTGTATTATTTTATTTTTGCATCTGTGGCTGATCGTATGGTGTCTGTCACATAGTGGACTCTTAGTAGGTCTTTTTGCATAACTGAAACTCTAAAATATTACAAAGAAAGTTAATTTTATTTTATAGGGCTATTCTATTCATAATGATGAAGCATAGATCATAATAAGCACTGTTTCGATCACTTAAATTTTTTATGTGTTAAAATTTTCTTAAATAAACCCAATGAGAAACAGGAGAAAAATAAGTCATAAAACATTATTTTTCCATATTCAGTGATTTTTTTAGGTGTTTCTGAGTTAGTAAATTGAATATAAATATCTGACAAAATAAGGAAAAGACATCAGTATTCACACATAGCCACAAATAACTTATTTCAATTTCTTTGGTTTACTATTAATTAAGCTCAAAACCAAAATAAAATCTTGGCAAATAGAAAACCTCTTTTAAAGGTTCTTGAGGGGAAACCATGTTTGTGAGAGATAAGCTGTGCTTTTGAAATCATGACGGGCAAGATCCCCAGGAGGACACCTGCCCTGGGCCACTGCCACTGTGAAGGACCTGACCTCGCCCACTGCGGACAGCTGGCTGCTCCCGGCACCAGAGGATTTTCCGGTTGACATGTGCATGGGTGAAAATGGGAGCATTAATAGGAAATCAGATGAGCAAGGGGGCTGAATTCAGACTTAAAGTGGCATATTAATGACCCCTATTAGGCTGTGGGAAAATCTGGTTCCTCACAGGCTAAGTTTTGATTTACAGACCCAGTCCTGAATGCTGGCATCATTACCCCTCAGAAATGGCACCGTACTACTGTTTTGTGCAGCAGCTGGACCCTGTGCTCCAGGGGAGCGGTTCAAAATGGCAGACAGCCGCTAAATCTTGGACAGACACTTCAAACTTTGGCAAGACTGGCCTCAAATACCGTTTTAAAATTCCTTTCACCAAAACAATGCAGCCACCAGTCACTGTCTTAACAATCATTCTAAAGTAGAAATCATTTGCTACATCAATGGCATTTTCTTGTGCATCTCTTTATTTATAACCACAGCTTGAAGTTTTAATACAGAAGAAGAGTAGAGTACCTTTTTTGTTACAAGATCTGTTTGGCAGGTTCTTTCTTAGCTAGGACAGTTTTAGCTCAGGATAAAATAAGCTTGTTGCACCTGCTGGAGCTTAATTTGTTTGTCATCCTTATTTACAAGAAACAAAAGTCCCTTTGGTAGGCTGATAATTAAAAACAAATGGAATCCACCAGTTGGAATGGCCCTGATGTTTGGCATCTGAGTTGGCATGGCCCTGCTGTTCCCGCACTTGCCCAGACTCTGACCTTTCCCTGACCAGAACATTCAGCTCAACTCAACTCTGAAGTGTGTCTCTCAAACCTCCCCATATGGTCCCTCTCCAGCACTCTGCAAGCTGTGCTTTGTGCTTTCACAGCGCTTGGCTCTGGCAACCTGCCAGTCAGGCTCTGTGTCCTTTTCTGAAGTGTATCAGAGCGCACAGTGCTCCTGACCTTGAGGTTCTTATCCAGCAAACCCTGCCTAGCAGTTAAGCAGAAGGAACTCGGGGCCAGATTCTTAGAGATCTCTGAGGATCTCTCTGCTCTTAGTTCAAAAATCAAAAGTTTTGCTGCCAAAAATGTTAAATTACTATTTTGTATAGACTACTATGTTCTTCAATAGATGGTTAGCCAATATGTTTAATTAACCAAAACTCTGGAATTCTCAGAGCTACTGTCCAGGATGAATCTTGAGTGCTCAGATCAAAAGAAACCAGGTGGAAAAGCAAGTAACTATTACACCTCCATATTCTAAAAGACTTTGGGGAACATGGTTAAGTATGTCAAAGTTTCAAACAGCTTCACAAAATTCATATATATCCATGCTTAAATTCATCATTCCTTATGAAAGAGGAAAAATACACATTAATTTCAACCCCCTGAAAAAATTCTGCTTTAGCCACCACTAAACAAAAATGTCGGATGTATTCTTGATTACTGCACGTGTCTGTGTGTTTCACTTTTTTTGTAACTGATTTGTCTAATTTCCATTCTTAGTTCAAGCAAAATATCTACACATTTTAAATAATAGTAAAAAACTCAGTGGAAAAGTATCCTTCAGTACAGAAAAATTTAAAGATTTTATTATTCATTCCTCTACAGGAAGAATTTATTTTTAATTTGATATAAGCATACCACTTTAAAGCTGGTTGGAAGCTAAAGAGGTCAATGAGCCTGAACTATTTGTCCCTAGGTGGGAGGTGGGGGAGGGAACACAGGCTTCTAAGAGTAACATAGAAATATAGTTATCAGATTACTAGCATTCTTTACCTCAAACTAGGTTGTTTTTTTTATATATCTCAGAATTACAAACTCATTCTAAGGGCCAAAGTGTGTTGATTGGATTCTTTGAGCATGTTATCTATCATCTACCCTACAATAGCATATATACATCTTTGTTCATAATAAAATGACATTTAGTTATATACTATTAAAGTGAAGATGAGGCAAATTACCCATATTTATAAAACTTATCTGACACATATGCTTTAAATCACAAAACATTATTTTAAATTCCAAAATGTATGTTTTACTTTCCAGTCTGTTTTAATCATATGGGTAGTTTCCCCTCCTCCTGGGACTACACAGCTACTGTCAGAGCTGCAGTTCCATCCTCATCAGTGAACAGTCCCTGTGAAGGTGAGGCACAGCCTTCTGGTCTCTTTTTTCAGGTTTATCTTCCCCTGCTGCCGGGGAGGAAAAGAAAACAGATTTTGTAAAATAAAAGTTTCTACAATACACACTGATTAAATTAATTTGTTGGCTTTGAAAGTGTTTTCATAGATGGCTCCACAACATTCAGATGCGTTTTAATGTCCTGTCCTTTTCAGCTTTTGAGCCTCAATCTCCAGCAAAATCCTTTGCCAACTTAGAATTCCTGCTCTGTAATGGTTTCCCAGAAGTGATCCTAAGCCAGCCAATCACCATTATTGTTATAAATTACCCTTTTTAAAAATGGGACCAGTCTGTAAAGTACATCATTTCCTAATCACCGTGCTGTACATCAGAAACTAATACAGAATAATATTAAATGTGAAGCTGTAATAGAAAAATAAACACATACATATATCCTGTCCAGAAAGTATCTATACTGGTACTATTAAATATAGAGAAATTGACTGAAGAAGATATAAGAAACATTGTACACAGGACAATGATGCCTCAGTCCCCTTCAAAGCAGGCACCTTGGGGCCTCACACAGTTCTCATGGTGTCTCTTCCACTGTTCTAAACACTCCAACATCTTTTGTTGGAATCACCATCAGCTGCCCATCATATTTTCCTGAATCTCGTCAATGGTCCGAAATCTCTTCCTTTTCAAAGATGATTTTAGTTTTGGGAAAAGCCAGAAGTTGCAGGGCACCAAATGGGTTGTAGGGAGGTGAGTCACCCAGGTGATTTGATGTTTTGCCAAAAAATTCTGCATGAGTGGGCACGTTGTTTTGACAAAGCTGACGATCACCAGTTGCCTGTAGCTGTGGATGCTTTTGTCGTGTTGCATCTCTCCACAAACAAAGAACAATGAGGTAGTACCCCTTACTGATTATTGGTCCTGGAGGGGCCTACTCATGATGGACAACACCTTCCCAATCAAAACAACACAGTTAACATGGTGTTGCTCTTACCGAGACTTGGCTGCACCTTCTTCAGGCGTGGAGAACCAGGAGACTTCCACTGGGACGACTGGACCTTCATTTCCAGATCATAGTCATAGACCCATGATTCATCTCTGGTTTTGACCTTCTTGAGGAAATATGGTTCGTTGATAGAGGTTTGAATCAAGTCATTAGCAACTGCAGCATGGTGTTCTTTTTGCTCTGGTAGCAGAAGCCACTGAACAAATTTTGCCATAACACATTTCATGCCAAGATCCCATGCCAAAGTCTTGGACACAGTAGTTCTTGGAATCCCCAGATCAGCCTTTAGTTCTTGCACTGTCAGTTGCTGATCTTTGTTGATTGCAGCCCATATGCATTTAACATGCTCAGGTATTCTGCTTGTTGCAGGCCTCTCTCCAGGATGTGGATAACTTTCAACAGATTCTCAACCATCTTTTAATCATTTGTGTGACACTTTTATTTGGGCTGCTCTCATTGCATCATCCCCAAAAGCCTTCGGAATCATCTGAATAGTTTCCAAGAAGGAATATTTAAGTCTAAAGCAAAATATGATGCATATTGTTGCCCTACTCACTCGGTTTTTAATGTGATGGCCACACAGTACATGTGCTCACTCAGTGGTGTGTACTGCCCCCACTGACTAGTACGCTGGTTTTCATTGTTCATGCAGGCACATTCCAGTCCACTCTTCTTGGCTACCAGATTACATCCACATCATGCAAACCGCTCTTATTTTATAAACAATGGCTGGACTTTCTCCAGACAGTCAGTTCTGCACCTGAACACCTGCCAGTCCAGGTGAATGTAGCAGAAACATACTGTTCTGAATGCCTAAAGGGCCCTCCTTTTCTCTAGGAGACATCATGGACAAAGTTCTCTCATGTACTTATATGTTTACCACCAGGTTCCAATCTTTTTAAGTTTCTCTCTTTCATGAGTAAATTGAAATGCTTAGTAGTTATATAGAAGCTTAAATCTTATCTGAAAATAACCAGAAAATTTGCAATTGCAAAGAAACAAAGCAATATGCAATTAAAAAACAACTAAATAGAGGAAAATAATGTTATCATTTATTTCTGTGTAATTAGGTTGCAGTTATTTTTCTTTCTTTTTTAATTTTCATAATTGTCCAAATCAATCCATATTACTTTAACCTATAGTATTATATTATAAATTTTATTGTGGGTGTTTCTTAATTACATCTTACAGTAATTTTTTGTTGCAATATGGAGTTCACTATCAAATATGTCAATTATTGTTAACCAAATAAATTTGACATTAGAGTGGTGCAATTAAAGCTGAATAAGTATATATATATTTGAAAATAGAACTCTCAAAGGAAAATTGTTCATACAAATCAAGTGCAGATTAACAAAATAGGGAAAATAGATACTGTATTAATTCGTTCATTATTTCAACATTTACTGAGTGTGTTTCATGTGTTGGATACTTTGCTAGATGTTAGAATAATTTAAATTTAATATTAGAACACATTCAGGGCTGGTAAGAACCTGAAAGACCATTGAGTCTGACTCTCTTTGTTCATAGATAAAGAAACACAGAATAATAGGAGTAAATGCCAGGGGCCATAGGTATTAGCAACAGTTTGGTGCATATTTGGTAATCTAGAAAAAGTTAAATTATGGTTGTGAATTTGTTCTAAGTAAATATATTTTTTCACTGTATTTTTATATCAGCAGAGGGTCAAAAACACATACGCTATTCCGATCACAAAATATGTTGCTACCTCTTTTATGTGGAAAAATAACAAGGTTAATTCAAAGATAAACATCAACTAATATGTCAGAGCTTATACCTTAAAACCAAAATAAGTACTCATTGCCAGGTTATGAATCAAAGGGCTTACTCTTTAGCTTCCTAAACTGTTCCCTTTTCTCCCTAATGTAAAATATCAAACAAAATAAATAGATGGGCAAAATAGGAATAAAAGTTACTTTGTCCTCATTTATTAAAGATAGATAATGTGGATAGACTACATAGAGTATGTAATTTTCCCCTAATTGTATATGAATAAGAATCAGCATTAAAACAATAATTCTTTGACACTTTAAACATGAATTAGTTAACATATTTATATGAAATTATTTTGAAAGTGTATGATCTCTGGGATTCAGATTTTTTCTTTCTCCATTCTAGTAGATGAGTAAAGCATCTAGGTGTAGACTTCCATGGCTTTCCCGATAACTTCATATTCTCAAAACCTTTTAGAATAGAACATAAATCCTTTTAAGGAGGAAGAAAATAATAGAGACAATTGGAGGTGACATAGCTTCTATCATCACCAAAATGTTTCTATCCCCTTAAAATGCACCAGCCTCAGCATAGTGGATCTTTTTAAACTCAGATATTTGCTGGTTTTTTTTATAACCATTGCAGACTACTATTTACTTGTATATACTGTGTCTCATCTTTTAAGGGTTCAAAATGCTTTGATAACAATTTAAATTTCTAATTATCAGACACATCTAACCATAACAGATATGGAAGTGGCATATATAAATATATATCTATCTACATATGTGAATGGTTATAAAACCTCATTTACTTTTTTCACTGAACAGCTTGGAAATAAAGGCAGACATTATTCTACCTGGATGAGGAAACAAAGCAGTAAAATGAAATATTTTGTTCATATTCGCACATAAAAATTGTGGAAAAAAAGAAACTATCCTTGAAGCCCATTTCAGTGTTGAACAGCTGAAGTTCCAGGATGTATATTGAGGTACTAATCTCTAGCCAAGCTTTTGAGAAAGTTATTTTAATCCTCAGCCAAATTCACGGTTTTAATTATGCAAGACTCACTAGTTTAATAAACCTGCTCTACAGCCCACTGCTCTAAGTCTTTAACAGCAGAATTCTAATAGAGCCAGGGCCAAACTGGAAATGGTGCCATCTGCAGCACCACTTCCCCTCCAGCAGCGCTGCTATTAAATTAACAGTACGTTCTGCAAAATAAAACAGCAGAGACCCCGTTCGTGGGGAACCAGTTGAGCTTCTGTTTAACCTTCGGCGAATAGAAACACAGAGCCAGTTCAATCATGGCTAGTTAATCTGTACCTAAGAGCTGTGTCCAATTTCCCTGACCAAAGGAATCAAGAACCAAAAAAGGAAAGGGGAAAGTAAGAAGACATTAGTTTCCTAAGTACAAATATAAATAGGTTCAGTTGAGTAAGTTTCAATGTCCCTGACTGTATAAGAATTGGCTGACCAATCTGAAATGGATTCAAACATTAGGATTAAAGATATAATGTCTGCAGAATGATTTCAGGTCTTCACAATAGAAAATACATTAAGTATTTTTTTCAAATGACATTTTACATCTAGATTCACGTAGTGGATCTTTGTGCTCTAATTTTAGGTTAATTATTACTTTTATTATTGGAAACTCTCCTATTTTGCAAATTTTGATATTTCCTGAAGGTAATTTTACATTAGCCAGTTTACACATAACAAATATTAAGCAACATTCAATTTTTATCTCAGGAAACTTCTTTCACCTTCTGTGTATCACACAATAATAGTAATTATAGGATTTTTCTTTTTGCCAGGGCCAGTGTAACCCACCCCCGCAAATGGTCCGTTTCACACAAAATCATGTGAAATGGACCACTGGAGAAACTTGAGCATATTTATTAGAGATATGTTTTTTGCTTTCTATAAGTTTCTTTAAAGTTTGATGTCTGTACAGGCCAACCCCTAGTCCCCCTAAATAAGATGCTTGCAAGATGAGCAAGACAATGCTGGCCATGGAACACTGCAGTTACTGAATTCAGGTCACCTGAAAGGGGCATTAATCATCATGTTGTCCCCTTCCATATGCACGGAAGGCTGTGTAAGGAAGTTGCAGGGCCTTCGATGCAGTGATGCAAGACAGTGACTGCATTTCTACACCAAAGGGTTTGAAGGTGATGCCGGGCATAAAAAATTCAAGGTTAAGACAAATTGAACTCTGATTTATTATTTACCTTATTTTTAAAAAATATTTGCTATTAAGTCAAAAATCTTCTCTGTGGTACTACATCAGTAAAAATCAGTTGCAAATAACTTAAAGGTTTTGAAGTTATTTGATTATAATCATGAAAAATCACATATATTTATACCTGAAGTTAAATGAAAAGTAAATGTATTTATTTAAACGCTATCAAAAGTTAAAACCAAAAGATGTTAATTATGAAAACTTTTTCATATAAATGCATATATATATAAATATATACATGTATGTCCTAAATAAAAATAAGAATAAACACAAAATTAAACATGTACCTTTTGTTTGTACTTTCCTTTCAGGCTTTTCCTCCTTTTCACTTTTTTCTTTGTGCATTTCTAGGGGAAAATAGAATTTATATAATTTAAAAACTCCTTTTTTTAAAAAATTTTATTTAGTTATTTTTCAAGTACAGTTTTTTGTCTGTTTCTCCCCTCATAAAAACTCCTTTTTAAAATGTATAAAATATAAACCATAACTATGACTCAAACTATATAACTTTTGAAGCTTAAATTATATCTAACAAGCTTATGGGTATTTAAAAGGAAAAGGTTTGTTAGCATATTGCTATATAAATTACTCATTTATGAAATAAAGAAAAAATTTGAGTTACCTCAAATTACAGTTAGTTGAAAAAGCTTAAAAACTTACATCAATGGAAATATGTTGTCACTGCTTTCAGTGTGAAAATTGATCACATAAATTATTTTTTAAATATTTTATTCATTTATTTATAGACAGAGGGGAAGGGAGGGAGAAAGAGAGGAAGAGAAACATCAATGTGTGGTTGCCTCTCACATGCCCCCTACTGGGGACCTGGCCTGAAACCCAGGCATGTGCCCTGACTGGGAATCAAAGCAGCCGCCCTTTGGTTTGCAGGCTGGTGCTCAATCCACTGAGCCACACCAGCCAAGGCTGATCACATAAATTATACTTATGTTTTATATCAATTATTTTCAATACAAATTAAGAATTCTTAGTAAGGATGTCATTCAGATATGGATGATTTACTTTTTACATATTAAATTAAAAATTTGAAAAATAAACTGTATCTACCTCATAAGAAGTATATCTCAGAAGTAGTGACTTTGAGCTATACAAGGTCTGTCCAGAGGGTATCCAGCCATGTAATATAAAAAATAGATATTTATTGAAGAAAATACAAGATATGAGAAACATTGTACACAGGACAATGATGCCTCAGTCCCTTTCAAAGTGGGCACCTTGGTACCCCACACAGTTCTCCCAATTACCATTAGCTGCCCACTGTATTTTTTGAATCTCATTGACACTCTGAAATTTTTTTCTTTCAAAAGTGATTTTAGTTTTGGGAAAAGCTAGAAGTTGCAGATCAACAAATCTGGGCTGAAGAGGGGCTAAGTCACATGGGTGATGTGATGTTTCACCAAAAAACTCTGCACAAGACATGATGCATGAGCAGGTGCATTGTTGTGAAGCTGCCGATCTCCAGTTTCCCATGGCCTTCTGACTCACCCAAATATTTTCCGCAGAGGAATGTTCAAGCTTAACACAAAATTTGATGCAAATTCATTGCTCTACTTGCTTAGTCATTTTGAATGTAACAGCCACACAGTACACATGCTCATTCAATAGCATCTACCGCCCCCACTGCCTAGTATAATGAAGTTGTCATTGTTCACACATGTGCATTCTAGTCCATTCTTCTTGGCTGCCAGGTAACATCCCTCAAACTGTTCTCCTTATACTAAAAGTGGCTAGACTTTTTTTCTGGACAGACCTTGTATTTAAAATCAGAATTTGGTATTGCATTTAACCAATACTTGTTGCAAGCACATATGACCCATTTCAGAAAATAAATTAGTTGTTACATTTTTCTAAATATCAGGTTTTAAGAAATATATTTAATTTGCTGCGGGCTTCATTACACATACATAGCAAGTTTGGAAAATGACATTAATTTTAAATTTGCAGTTAATTTGGATAGAAGCAAATTTGAGATTAGAGTTTACAAATATGATTACTTCCTCTGAGAAGTTACTTAATCTTAAATACCATGATTTTTCTTAGAAAAATGCTAATGAGGTTTACTCATTTATTTATTTTTTATCACATATATTTTTTAAAGATTTTATTTATTTATCTCTAGAGGGGAAGGGAAGAAGAGAGGGAGAGAAACATCAATGTATGGTTTCCTTTTGTGCATCCCCTGCTGGGAACTGGCCTGCAGGGAACCGGCCTGCAACCCAGGCATGTGCCCTGACTGGGAATCGAACCACAATTGTCTGGTTCTCAGGCCCGCACTCAGTCCTCTGAGCTACACCAGCCAGGCTTCATTTATTTATTTATTACAACTTTATTCCACAAATTATCTGACTTGGTGCTGATTACTGTATACATTTAAAATTCTCCATTTATAAATTTGATTTTGTATTTTTCTATAAGTTTAAAATCAAGACGAACCATAAGGAAACCCCAAATATCTTCAGAAAAGACAATGACTGACTTTCATGCACTTGTTAAGGAGGTAATCACCACTGCAAAGATTTCTTCCCTCATTTTTCCCATTAATTCATCGCCATACTATATGCAGGGTCACTGCTCTACTTTTATTACATTTCCGACTTTGAGTATGGCAATGGTGGTACAAAAGAGTTAAGATGTTCAATCACATCTCTGAAAAAAATTCACCAAGGTGCAAGGACATAGGAAACTCCACAGGGAATAGGAAACTTCCATCTTCCTGGATCTCACAGTGTATTTTTATCTCTTCCTTATGCTTCTCCAAATCTTACTTCACAGCAGGGTCTCTCATCTTAACATCACTGACTTCATGGGTTGTGTGAATCATTATCTGGTGTGCACTGGGTCTATTGTGTGCATTATGTGCTGGTTTTTAGCAGCATCCCTGGTCTCTGCCTATTAGATGCCCATAGTCTCATCTCCAGCCACAACTATGAAAAATGTCTTTAGACATTGCCAAGTGCCCCTGTGGGGCAATATCACCCCCAGGAATATGTTCAGATGGCTCAAAATTAGATAGTTCTTTTGTTTTCCCTATGCTTTGGGGTTCTATAATATTTCTATAATTAAAAAACAAAAATAATGGTGCCCTGTAATCTATCATACCAAGCTTCATGTGTGGGGACTTTTGATCAGCATTTTAAGGAATGTATTCTGGTTGCAAAGGCACAATAAAAGTCACATCTTACAGACTACAGGCGGAAAGGCTCACAAGAAACTTCATTACACATATGCAGGCGTTCCCACACAGAACTCGTATTTTTAGAACTGCTCCAAGCATGCAAGATAATCAGGCTAATTACTGTTTGTCGCTATGTAGACTTACAATCTCCAAAGCGGAACCACTAGACACAAATGTATATGGGGCAGGTGATACATGGTTGGTCCAAACTGAGACGTAATATAAGTGTAAATATACACTGAATTATGAAGTGTTGGTATAAGGAAAAATGTCAAATATCTCATTAGTGATTTTGTATTAGTTACATGTTGTAGTGATATTATTTGTCATATATTGAGGTGATTGTTTTACTTATCTGTCAACTTGGCTAAATTGCTACCCCAAGCCATTCAAATGAACACTAATCTAGGAGTTGCTGTGAGAGTGTTTTGTAGAAGTAATCAAAATTCCTACCACGAGTATCCAAAATTTTGTGTCTCTGAGCCATATTGGAAGAAGAAGAGTTGTCTTGGGCCATGCATTAAATATATTGCAACAGATAATCACCAAAATTTTTTTGTAATATTTTAAGTAAATTTATGATTTTGTGTTGGGGTACATTCATAGCCATCCTGAGCCATATGCCCCCAGGGGCTGGGTATTGGACACCCCTGCCTAACCCACTGATGTTAAATAAGAAAATGATTCTGGATTGTCTGGATGAGGTTGTCAGATTTCATTAAAGGCCTTGAAAACAGGCCTGTGAATAACCAAGGAAATGGAAGAAATTCTCTTCATGGACTTCAGTTTTGGTCCTTGCCCAAGGGCTCAGTTTCCCTGTGATCTCCTTTCCTGACACTTGGCCAGTCCCCATAATGACATAAGCCAGTTCCTTGTAATAAATGTCTTAATATATAAATATATTGGCATGGTTTCTTACTGGTTTTGCTTTTCTGGCTTAGCCCTGATATTCTGACTGGATCAAATCTGTCATTAAAATTAATTTTTATTATCTTTTTTTTACTTTTTAAATGTAGCTACTTAAGAATTTTAAATTACATATGTGGTTCACAATGTAATAATATTGGACAGTGCTGGTCTAGTCCCTATGTGTAGGCAAATGATCTTTTTAACACCTTAGGTCATCCACTGGGTTACAACTTTTACAAGTGAATTGAAAAACTAAATTCCGATTTTTCCCCTGCCAAACCCATCCAGCCTCCTCTCTCCTATTCAGACCAACAAAGGCAGTGGAGAAAATTGGTCCCTTGTGTAATTTAGGCAGAAAAAAGCAGTATACTGTCAAAGACTGAGAGTGAGTGGTCTTTGGATATGCTAAGGAAGACAACTTTAAGAGATGATTTCTTACTCCATGTAGAGATATATTTGAATACAGAAAAAAAGATGAAGTATTATAAATTAAAATGTTACATGAAAATGGTGCCTTTATTATGAGATGAGACCAACTTAAATGGTTATTTAGAATAATATTTTTCCTTGAGAGGGAGGGTATGTGTGTGTGTTTGCATTACACAGACAGCTGTTGGCCACTGAGAGAATAAAAGAAAGATTATGGAAATCGTACAGGAGGATCAGATCTGAGTTAGACTCTTCCGCAGAATTCAGAGCTGAAAGCATCCTGCCTGGGTAATTCCGTCACAGCCCCTTAGCCTATCTTATTCTGGGGAAACCCACTCTTCGGACAGTAGTCTATGGCAGTAGACACTCTGTGTTGTTCTGTGCCCGTTTTCCCTGCAGGGTAGGTGGAGGCTTGCACATCAGAGCGCAGAGGAAAGAAGCAGTAGCCAGTGCTTCCTTGAAGCTCCTTAGCCCTGCCTCTTGCATGTGCAGCAGCCTCCTGTCAAAGGGGAAGGACTCCAGACAGTAACCAGAACTGAAAGAGGCAGGAGTCCATCCTGGAGGTAACAAAATAAATGAAAGAAGAGGAGTCTCAAAAAGTTTGGGGTCATGAACACTGAACAGGAAAAGGCTGGGGAAATGCTTTCACTTCACCTTTTCCCAAACACATGAAAGGAAGGTCACCCTAACGTGGAAGGGAAATCCTGGCATGCTGGTTACACTTTCAAAATAAATTTTACATAAGGAGAAACAAACATAAATAAATCTAAAGAATTAGACTGAAAAAGTGACAATATATTTCAGAGCATTTATTGT